TTAATGGTCGAATACCATGAATCTGTGACCCTCTTTCGACACATATGATCACCACTGCATCTGAGTCAAAAACGGCTAAGTCATTTGTAGATAGTTGCTTTAATTTCTTTGCACTACACCAAAATATTACGTTTGATCATCATGGTTTGATGGCTTAAATGCTTGCTTGCAGCGGTTCCTTGTTCATCACGCAATGCTGTCATCCCATTTTAGGGGGTAGGGGTAGGACAGTTTCTATCCTAATACTAATCCTAAGGCCCCGTAAGGCTTGGAACCACTGGGAGCACCCAGTCGTGTTGAGTAAAAAAACTATCCAGTAGTTTTTGTCATACCCTAGCCTATCTACCATAAGAATATAAGCGAAATCGACTTTTCGACCCTTGCCGCGAAATTAAGAATTTGTCTGATTTTTACAGGTAGGCACTCTTAACAGCTATTTAAAGGAACTTTACATTCGTAACAGCAATAGTCTTATTTTTTAAATTGCATATCCTTTAATTAATCTAACATTTATTCTAGCAATATATCACCCTTTTCTTTAAAACGACATATCCTTTTATCAATCTAATGTCTTTTATAAGTATTAACAGGACAGAAGATGCGAAAAAGCATCATAAAAGAATACCAGAAACTTGATTTTCTATTCTTAACTTGTAATTTACTTTCGTAGTAAATTCAATCCAGTTAAGATTCCTCTCATTTACCTTGTGATAATGTAGATAACAGTTAGCATATAATAAACAGATATTCAATTTCCTAACATTGTTATTGTCCTTTTCACACGCCATACCAAACAATAATTTGTAGTTTGCCGGGGATATTGAGGTGTTATGCATTTTACTGAAACAGTTCTACAGCCGATTGTAAAAATAAAATGTCGTACTACAGTTATGAAATGTATGAAGAACTGAGTCAGGCTTACCTCAGTAGAAACATCTATTATTGCCTGTAATTCCATAGAGAGTGAGCTCTGTCTTCATAGCGACAATGCGATGGATAAGCTTAAAGTAAAATTCTCTCGGTTGATTCTCTTCACAAATAGCCTGCACTCTATTAAAGATTTGGCTCCATGAGAAAGCCGTCGGAGGAAAGTTGCGATCCCATTTCATTGGACCAGTGGCCTGATACTTCCGTTTATCGCGAAAAAGCCAATAATAGTCTTCAGACCTAAGTTTCTAGAGGTCGATGGTTAAGAGTGAAGATAATTGAAATAAGGCTGCCGCCGGATAAAATGTTGACATTAGGCTTAGCACGCTCCTTGGCTCTTTTCTCCCTAAGGTGCTCGGGGTCGCAGAGATTACTTGGAAATATTTGAAAAAATTACAATTAATTCCATAACGCTGTTGGAACTGTTCAAATGGTAAAAAACAGCCATGGCGGTCAATTACATCATGCACCGTGGACACCCTTTTCAACGCAATCATGGTAAAAAAACGATCTTCCCGTCAATGAGGACCACTTTATTTTCAAAGAGAATCATGTCTTTTTCATCCTCAGAGTTATAAACACTTTTTAGGTCCAGGAAAGAAAACAAGATATCCTTGTAGAAGGATGGCATGTCTGAATCCTTTAGAAATTTCTCATCATAGTTGAAGCGTAAGAGAAAATAAAAGACCGCCACATTTTATAAAATAAAATTTTGGAATTGCTGACCAAGTATCATCTTCTTTGTCATCAGTTTTGAGGAGACGCTACATCCAGGCTAAGTGCAGGGACTTAAACGTAATTTAAACATTAGTGAACCGCCAACCACCATCGCCATAGTCCTGATATAAAACTTGTCTCTTGATTTTATCTGGTTTGTTTTTCTATAAGAACTGGAAAGGTAGCGACTGGATTAGAGATGCGTATTTGTTTGTAGTGTCATCCATGGAAGCCGAATAAAGAATTTGAGACAATCCTAGGGTATTTGCAATCAAGCACGGCCCAAGCAGAGAAAGTTTCCGCCAACGCCCAGCTGCACGTTTTGTCTTAAGATTATCCACTTTGTTAGTAAAGCTTTTCCGTTCATTGTCAACACTATCATCAGAAAAAAAGATTCCCAAGACTTTCACCAGTTCATTGGTGCAGACTAGACCAAGAAGTGTTTAACCACCAAAGCTTTGCTTTGGAATGATATTGATAGTTTCAGCTTTATAAATCCCGAAAATAGCACTTTGTAAATTTTTTGGGTCGATATTCAAGATTTCGTCATTAACTGACATGCGTTTTTGTCTGATAGGAAAATACCAACTCTTTACCGAAAACTACCAAAGAGCTGAAAACCAACGCAGGAGAAGGAACCTGTTATATCAACGTTTCAAAACATCTGACAGGTTCCAAAAGAGCCATCGAGTACCATGAACGTCATCTAAAACTTGCCAAAGAAGTGGAAGACAGGGCTGGAGAAGGAAATTCAAATGCTAATCTTGACAACGCTTATGACAGTCTGGGAGATTTCAAAAAAGTTATCGAGTATCATGAACTAGATGTAAAAATTCCCAAAGAAGTGGGGGACAGGGCTGGAGAAGGAAGTTCGTATGGTAATCTTGGCAACGCTCATCACAGTCTGGGAGATTTCAAAAAAGCCATCCAGTTCCATGAACGGCATCTAAAAATTGCCAAAGAAGTGGGAGACAGGGCTGGAGAAGGAAGTTCGTATGCTAATCTTGGCAACATGTATCACCGTCTGGGAGATTTCAAACAAGCCATCGAATACCATGAACGGCATCTAAAAATTGCCAAAGAAGTGGGAGACAGGGGTGGAGAAGGAATGTCGTATGGTAATCTTGCCAACGCGTATCACAGTCTGGGAGATTTCAAAAAAGCCATCGAATACCATGAACGGCATCTAAAAATTGCCACAGAAGTGGGAGACAAGGCTGGAGAAGGAAGTTCGTATGGTAATCTTGGCAACGCTCATCACAGTCTGGGAGATTTCAAAAAAACCATCCAGTTCCATGCGCAACGTCTAAAAATTGCCAAAGAAGTGGGAGACAGGGCTGGAGAAGGAAGTTCGTATTCTAATCTTGGCAACATGTATCACCGTCTGGGAGATTTCAAAAAAGCCATCGAATACCATGAACGGCATCTAAAAATTGCCAGAGAAGTGGGAGACAGGGCTGGAGAGGGAATGTCGTATGGTAATCTTGGCAACGCGTATCACAGTCTGGGAGATTTCAAAAAAGCCATCGAATATCATGAACGGCATTTAAAAATTGCGAAAGAAGTGGAAGACAAGCCTGGAGAAGGAAGGTCGTATGGTAATCTTGGCAACGCGTATCACCGTCTGGGAGATTTCAAACAAGCCATCGAATACCATGAACGGCATCTAAAAATTGCGAAAGAAGTAGGAGACAGGGCTGGAGAAGGAATGTCGTATGGTAATCTTGCCAACGCGTATCACAGTCTGGGAGATTTCAAAAAAGCCATCAAATACCATGAACGGCGTCTAAAAATTGCCACAGAGGTGGGAGACAGGGCTGGAGAAGGAAGTTCGTATGGTAATCTTGGCAACGTGTATCACAGTCTGGGAGATTTCAAAAAAGCCATCGAATACCATGAACGGC